CTTAGAAAAGTTGGCAATTTTCTTGCTCTTTATTGCTGCTTATTGTTGAAACTGTAAACCTAGCTGTGTTCTAAGCACAAAGCAGATTCCGCCTAAGGAATACTCCTAAGCCACACACCATGTTTTCTCTTGTATTAACTGGCTACAACTTCAACTTGGATTTCATTAGCACATGTTGGTCAGCTAAAATTGTTAAAATGGATTTTAACAAAATCATCTCGTCCTCTTGTTTTAATTTGCAGATATTTTATTTATTTCATCACTCTTAAAGCTGAGCAATGTAATGAGCAGATATTTGCATATCTGAATATCTGTTTTTATACGTGTGTGTAAACCAAAATTTTTTTTATTCAGGTTTTCTAAAATGCTTAACACTGAGCTACTGTTAGTAATATAAAGGAGAAAAGAATAAAATTATTTAATAAGTTTTACTGTGTCTAGCATATATGTACGTAGAGGTATTCTAAGATTTCTGCCCTCAGAGGAGTGCCAGAGGATTGCAGGTTAATGCACGGTGTAGAATAAAGTAGTTAAGAATACATCAGAACCAAAAACTATATGAAGCTCAGAAAAGTTAAGCAAAATCCCCACAATAATTAAAAAAAACATTCTTAGGTTTCAAACTCCAAGTCAACTACAATACCCAGGTTCTCCCCACCATGCCAGAACCCCTTATGAATTCTCCAAACTCAGTGTACTTAAGCGATATCATAGCTGGAGTCATGGGATGTTTTTCGAGTTAGAAAAAACAGAACACACTTCCTGGTCTCTTCCATCCCTCTGGTCTGAGAAGTTCTGCCTTGTCAAACCCCTCCCCCTGGTCCATGGACCCCTATGCTCGTTCTCTAACATCTTTAATTTCACCTCCAAACATGTACTAAATGCCAAATACGTGCATTTAATTAGTGACACAGTGATAAAATGCAGTTTCGTAAAAGAGACCAACATCTAAACAGATAAATATAATACATTGTAGGGGCTACTATAGTGAAGTTATATGTAGGGTAGAGGAGTTTAAACCCTACTTTATTTTAATATACACTGAAGGTCTGACTCTTCAAAGATACAAATCTTATACTAAGATAAAAAAAGAAGTAGGAAGAAGCAATAGTAATGCAAGAAGAGTGAAGTGGAGCCACTCGTAAAGGTAGCCCCACAGCAGGCCATGGAGCACTTCTGCGTTTCAGCCCTGATTTGGTGCTGAGCGTTGTAGGTGTTAGTACAGAGAAACAATCCTCTACACCATTCACATGACTTAAAAATGCAGCTGACCCTCAAGAGAAACACCACTGCAGTGATCCTGGTACGAAAACTATGGATTGCTCTGTGAGCCATCACAGAGAAGAAACCGTGTATGTAAATGTTCGTAGCCTCAACGACATCTTTGTCATAAACAGCAATGACTTCCACTCTGCTGGTTTCCTAATGGCCTTAGACATAGGTAAAAAACGTCACCTACAGAATCATGTTCGTAATTTTCAAGTGCAGGCAAAGCCACGCTCTCCCAATTCGAAGCTCTCTGCTCTGGCTTATCCCACAGCAAAGTTTAGAGTCAGGGAAGCCAACTCAAAAGCCTCTTGACACTGGCCAGCTGGACTGTGGGGGCTGGCAAATGTGTGTCTTCACCCAAAGGGGGCGCAGCTGCTCCTCTCCAGCCAGTATCCTAATGCAGATGTGGGTCCAGAGTGGCTCATCTTTCAGATTTTCCAAAAGAAATTTAGAATTTTAAAATGTAGAAATTTTCAACTTTTACATGTTGGGGCAAAAAATTTAACACTGGGCCAAACTCATTTCCAGTTTGTAACCTTTTTGTAGTATTTAAGGCAAAAGAGGGTGGCTAAATCAGCCTGAGATGGGCAGGAGACTAGGTGCTGCCTTAGGGCTGATGTCTTCTCAAATCCAGTTGAATCAAACAGACACTGAGGGACACAGTGACTATGGCCCTTCAACCTGCCATCTGGCTTTCTTGGCTGTTTTACCAAACAAAACTTGCTGACTGCCAGCATTTCCTTGCTATGCTCTGCTCTCCAAACCTGACATCTGAGGGAATGTCAGAGCTGGAAGGGAACTAGGAGGTCATCTACTCCAGGGTTTTTGGTCTAGGACATCCCTTCACACTTGGAGCATATAAAAATGTTGATTCCTTGGCCTCAGATCTCCTAAAGCAGAATGTTGGGTGGGGAGCATGAAATACGCATTATTAACAAGCTCTTCGGGGCATTCTGGCATTTTACTGAAGATCGATACCCGCCAAGCTAGTCCAACCTTGACTTCCTGATAGAACAGAGTCCCAGAGAGGGGAGTGACTTATCCACCACACAGTAGGTTTGCTGGAGAGTGAGGGAGGCCCAAACTCCCAAAGGCAGTGGTTGTGAGAGCCTGTACATTTTGGCTTATGTGACATGATTCCAAAAAATTACTCTCCGAAATCCCCAGTGCTCTGCCTAAGGTAAATCTAGTGGTTTATTGGCCTGGTTCTCCTTATTTTTATTTCTTATGCTGGGCTCTCTGCATTGAATCTAATGATATTTTTGCTTTGGATGGATGAGTGGGAAATATTAAGAAGACATCCAAGAGGCCAATCTAGTGATGGCACCCATGTGAGTTAAAGGTCAGGACCAAGCTACATTTTTGCATATAATCTGGAGAGATAACAAAGAAAGGAGCCCTGCAGAACATCCTGTGGTCCAGAAACAGGAGCACTGAGAGAGAATCAAATTAACATCATGTCTCCAAACCAAGCAACCAAACAGAGAAAGAAGGAATGGCATGCACCCCAGAGAACAAGTTAGCATCTGATAATAACCTTCACCTTCTTGCCTGCCAGACTCATTATATGGATTTAACCCCAGAACCAGCACATCTTCCACTCAAATATTTTAACAAGTATTATAGGTAAGTCTGAAGGAAAGTCACCCATTTCAGGGGATGTACCAAGCACTGATCTCATTACTTGAGTAAGCAAACAGCCCACCTGCAACAGGCAAAGTGCCATGCAAGGCACTAGAGGTGGAGAGTAGAGCACAGCAGAGCCAAGGCAAGATGGACATCAATGCAGGTCAATGACAGCACAGCGAGATAAGTGCCCCGTTAGAAGACCCCACGGTTCAGAGGACAGGCTTTCCAAGGCAAGTGTTGAGTGAGCTAGGCTTAAGAAAAATAATATTCAAGTTTTAATAGTGTTTGTCCCTGAACTTAGGTTGAAAGTGAATCATTAAATGGAACTTAAAGGAAAAAAATGGCCTGAGTAGTATTAGTCACTTTCTGATGACAAAGGATGATGGTGTAGAGGAAGGGCAGCTGTGTGGACGAGATCAGATTGTGACACAGTGAAAGGCGTTCCTTCACGTCTTAATGATGTTGAGAGTCACATAGCTACAAAGATAAACTGTCTCGAATGCTAAATATCAGAGTTGATAATAAGCTAAAGGTTTTAATGAAGGAGAAGCGAAAGACTTAGGAAAAAGGCAGCTTTGCTATTTCATTCACAAGTTTTGCAGAATGGCACCTATGCCACCTTGCATAGGTTCAAGTGTATGCGTTTTCACTGGGTTTTTATAAGGTGAAGGTAAGTGGGGGGTGGGGAGCTAATACTAGAGGATAAAGGAAACTTCCAGAGTACATTATTTCCAGTATAAATAATCTCTCACATTTGCTCATATGCTACAGTAATAATTCTCTTCTCCTGAAGAAGTGAACTTTATGGAAATAATGGCTTAGTGGAGATCAAAAAGGAAGTATCTCAAAATTTAAATTTTATTTGACTTCTTTGGCAATTTCTGGGGAGCATGTTGCTATAGAAAGAGCCCTGAAATGGGAACTACCAGACCCAAGTTAAAATTCTGGTTCTGATTCTGAGCAAGTCACCCTAAACCTCAGCTTCCTTCACTCTAAAGAAGGAATTATAATGTCTGTCCCAGCTATCTTTCCACAATGTCATGAAAATCAAAACCCAATTTATTTAGGAGCTCCTATATATTAAATGTTTTTACTATCCCAACCAACATGCTAAATAATGCATAAGTATCATGTTATTTTAGCCACACAGTCACACTATATGAGAGTTCCTATAATATTTCCATTATACAGATGAGGAAGTTATGGTTTAGAGAGCTTAAGTCACTTGTCCAGGGTCACATAACAAAGAGAGGGGCAGAGCCAGTATTTGAACTTGAGTGTGTCTGCTTCTAGAGATTGAGCTCTTAGCCCCTACTTTATGCTTTTCTATCATAAAGGCAGAAAGTGTACATGAAAACACATTGCAGATGGGAAATGCTATCCAATATTATTTTTATTTTTCAGCAATGATTATAGTATGGATGAGGATGAAGAGAAAACAAGTGAAGAAGGTGACATTACCTGCCTCCAAGAATCTCCATTCATTTTACTCATCCATTAGAACCACATTCATCCCCATTTTCAACTAGCATCAGTGCAGACGCATTCAAATGCAAATAACAGAAAAGGCTGACACCATCAGGACATTAGCTGTTGGTTAAAACAGAAGTCTGGAATCAGATAATCCAACTGAGATCAGCAGTTCCACAATGTTCAGGTTCTGTCATCTCTATAATTCTCTTGGTCCCCTACTCACACTCACATAATGGCTGCTGCAGCTCCAAACATCACAATCTAATGTGACTTTTTTTTTTTTTCCAAAACCAAGAAGCGGACAGCTAGCCAGCATAATGAATGAGCACACCTTGTGTGCCTCTCTCCTTTCATACAACAAAAGAAAAATTTATTGGAAGTGGAAATATCCATGCAGAAACTCCACAGTACGCTTCCCTTACATCTTATGGACTAGAACTGGATTATACAGTGTATTAGGATGGGCCAGGCTAAGCTCCGGTAACAAGTAAGCCCTGAAATCTCCATATAGGTGCATTTACTGTTCACGTCACAATATCGTGGGCTGGTGGCCCTCCTCCGTCTTGTAACTATACCACCTGGAACATGAGGCCTTCTAGGACTCTGCAGTGGGGGAAGAGAGACGAAGACAGTGGTACGAGTTCTTAACTGTGGCAGAAGTGATGCGCTCTGCTCACATTCCTATAGGTCAGAACTTGGTTCTGCAGCCTCACTTCCTGCAAGGTGACTGAGAAGGACGATTGGCCCAGCAAAGGAATCACTGTGAGGAACTCACACCATTGTGTGCCGCTCATGGCCTCCCCTGGTGTCAGAGAAGAAGGGGCTTGGGAACGGCTGCTGGTGGGAGTCTGCTGCTCCAGCTCATGTCCATTTGCGCCCTCAACAGAATGGGAGCCTGGCTAAAGATATGGCAGGACACGTTTTTCTTTGAGCTTCCTTGATTCTTATGCCTCCCTCTTCCACAGCCCTTTTCTCTGAGTAATATAATAATCTTTCATTTGCCTGCCACTCTCTCCCCTCATCCACCCCAGCCCCAACAGACTGTAAATTTCTTAAGGTCAGAGGTTATCTTCCTTTCCCACCTCATGCCTAGACTAGGGTCTGGCACAGACTAGGTGCTCAATAAATGTTTTTATTTTTTTATTTTATTTTATTTTTTCTCTCTTCAATTCCCCCCCACTTCACCCCCTCCACCACCACCACCACCACTTCCACCCGTGACCTATGGATGTTGCCATTTCCCCTTAAGAACTAAATCTCTGAAAGCAGGGTGTCTCCTCCCACACACTCATGGTGTGCACTCGGCGCACCCAGGGTGTGATCTTTGGTTCCACCTGGGGTGTGAACCCAGGACCTTCCGCGTGTAAAGCAGACGTGCTAACCACTACACCATGGAACCACCCCCTCACTAAATGTTTTTAGAGCAAGTTAATATGAGGGCCTTTTAGAAATAAGAATTTCAATTATTTGACTGTCTTTAAGAAATACGTGGCACTTATCTTTAGAATTTCCAGTAGAATCATGGAGGAACAACAAGTATGATTCAACCTTTAAACAAATGTGGGTGCAAAGGAGACTACACAACAGATTTCGAGAATGTGACCATAAATCAAGTAAATATTTGATCAGTGACATCAACATATGTAAAAGATTTCTTTAAGGAAACTGACTCCTGGAAACCCATTTATATACCTTCAGTCTGGCTTTAGGACTTTAACAAAACTATATATCCCAGAACGAAAGTGTTGAGTCCTTTGCCTGCCCAGAGAATGCTTCACAGTGATGACAGCTAAGGCAGTAGGTAAAAAATACAGAGTAGTCTTGAGGCAGGTAGTATTATGCCCAGTTTACTGATTGACATAGGCTCAGAGAGTCTAATAATTTACCCAAGATCATATAGCTGTTAAGAGGGCGGTGACAAAATTGGAGAACCAGGTCATCTTGTTTCAAAGACAACAACTTTTAACCATTAAGATTTGGACTTGCTCCCATACTCAGGGTACTAGAAGAAGATTTGGCAGGCGTTTTGCTCATCCATTACTGTGTAACAACACAGACCAAAACCCAGTGGCTTATAACAAAAATTTATTACTACCTCTCATGGTTTTGTGATTGACAGGGCCAGCTGGGTGATTTGCCTTTGGAGTCTCTTATACAGTTTCAATCAGAGAGTCTTGTGGCTTAGCCTCAGAAGTCACAAAGTGTCACTTCTACTCTATTATACTACTCAAAAATGGAGCAGAGGACCAGCTTAGATTCAAGGAGAGAGGACCACATAGAAGAGAATGAATATCAGGGAGCATCCTTCATCAGGAACATCAGGGAGACAGACTGGCTACCACAGCGGACGAAGTTAAATGAGCAAGTGAGGAGCATCCCTGGTGTGCGTGCAAGGGCTTCCTTCTCAAAAAAGAACCTTCACATTCACTTCTCATTTGGTCTTTTGTAGCCTGTCAGGCAGGCAGACCAGGGTCAGGACTAGATCTTTATTTTACAGACCTGGACACTGGTGCTCAGTGAAATTACATGACTTACCAAAAGTCACACAGCTTCTAAATGTGCGTGTGGGTGTGAAAGTTGGCTTTCTTACTCCTAGGTCTGCAAGTTTTATAGGTTTTTCCAAGCAGGTGATAGAGGTGCCATCAACACAAAGTAATCAAGGGGAAGCAATCATGAATCTAAAGTTTAAAAGAGAAAGGATATGAAAGTTATAAACATTTTAAAACAGGATAACACCTACTATAATAGCTGAAGCAGAAACAGACATGTGTCTACTGCTCGTGGGAGTGTAATTTGGTCCAAACTTTCTAGATATGCAATAGATACCAAAAACTTTAGAATTTTGCAAAATCTTTGACCCAGAAGTTCCATATCTAGAAAAATTTCTAAGGAAATAGTCATGAATATGGGCAAATACTTAGTTATTAAAATGGATTCTGGGGTATTTTTGCTAAAAGGGAAAAATTAGAAAAAATCCAAATAAAAGAGGTTTTGTTAAATAATGGAAGACCATTTTGTCATTAAATTGATGATGTAGAAAAATATTTATTGTCATCTAATATGTTTGCAATGTTATTTATGAGGAGAAAGTGGGTTTTAAAGAGTATTATAATATTCCATTTTTATTTTAGACACCATACATGTGTCCATGCACACAGAAAAAGGAATAATAAAGAAGGGATTCAAACTGTTAATAATAGTTATTTAAAGCTGGTGGGATTATAGGTCATTTTTATTTTATCTTTTCTTCTCTATATTTTAAAATTGCTTATAGCCTGTATTACTTTTGTAATGAAGTTTTAAAGAGGAAAGCGAGAAAGAGAATTAGGAAAACACAAAGGGTTCTAAGTTAATTTTAACAAACAAATGAAGAGATACAGAGGAGTAACATAGAGCCTTATGCTTAATTTTTCTAAGTGCTTTTTAATTCAAGGTCTAATTTGACTTCTACAACAACTCAATGAGAGAGATTGGACAGATATTATTTCTATTTTGTAAATAGGAAAAGTAAGCTCTAAGCAGTTAAATCTGTAAGGTCATCCCAGGTTATTAGTGACAAAACCAGAACAAAAGCCCAGATCTCCTGGGACATTCAGAGACCTCAGACAAAGTCACAGCAGAGGCTGAAGTCACACCTGGCTTTGAATTGGCATGTCTACTTCCACTTTAGTTAATCTCCTATCGTGGACGCCCCTAGTGTTTCAGCCTACCCAAAGTCCTTTCTCCTGTCTTCGTCTTAGGTCTCTGCACTTTGTCTTTCTCTGTGGGACGTGCCCTCCCTCAATCTCAGTGCAGCTTTAATGAGAACAATCCTGGAGAATTCTGCCAAAGTGTTAGAAAACAGTTTGCTGAGTTGGTAGGAGGTAGGCAAGAGCTTCTGCGGCCTTCAGGACTGACAGATGGCCGAAATGATGCCAGAAAGAGTCGGGTGGCAAAGACAGATGCCGGAACACGTTGTTTGGGTACTTGGATCCTGGTGTGGCTAAAGCTAGATCCCCCTACTGGACTTTTTGCTCATCTGAGTCAGCGCATTACTTTTTCCCTTTCTTTAGTCTACTCTTCTCCCTCTGCTTCTCCGCCCCTCCCCCTACTCCCTTCCAACCCCTTCTCTCCCTCCCCCTCATTCTTTTTCGTTTGTTTAATTTCAGGTTGTATTCCTGCCCCTTGTAACCAAAAGACTCCCAACAATTATACTCTCCCATCTCAGTTTTCTAATGTCTAAAATGAAGATATTAATAATAAGGTGCTGCTCACCTTCTACATAAATCGTTGCGAGATTTACATGAGTCAATGCCCATAAAATGCTTGCCACATAATGAGAGTCGATAAGTGCCACCTGTTATTTTTAAGGAGTTAGGAAAAACTGCATTCAGAAACTCTCATTCATCCACTTCCCCTCACAAAAAAGAAAATGACTGCTCCATGCATAAAAATATAGGGAATAAATTCCTATAATGCAAGTTGTGAGAAAAGAGAAAGCACTGTGTTAGCAGCTTCCACTGGGAGTTGCTATTTCTTAATTTATGGCCAGGCAGAGGCAGCTAGCAGCAGGCCCTGCCCCCCATCTCCCTGGCATGGGAGTCACCGCTCCCCCACCTTTCTGATATACTTACTTACTCCCTAAGGGTTCCTCTTCAATGCCAGGCGATGCTGGGCTGTGATTAAAACATTGCGTCTACAATTGTTAGAAAGAGCAAGAACTGCAAGAGAGGAGGAGAAAGGGGAAGTGAAGTGGTTGACAGGACAGAAACGGCTGATTTTGCAATGCTGTTTGGTGAGAAGGAAAGTAAACTAGGAGAAAGTTAGCCAGGCCTTACAACCCCATTCCTGCACTGATTATAGAAAGAAAGGATACTGTGCCTGCAGTCAAAAAATGCACAGTATCCTGTGCTGTTCATTTTTCCAGTGGTTGGGACTCCGATGAAGCCAGGCCAGAGGGCTCTGAGGTTAAGAACATTAGCACAGGAGGAGCAAAATTCATGGAAAATCAATGTATTGGATTAAACAGAAGAGGGCATTATGTAAACCACAGAATCTCCAAGGAAAAGGTCAGAGAATTGGTCTTGAAGACCTCCCAGTCCGGAACAATGTTCTCACTGTAGGTGCTGCTCAAGTGGAGTGTCCATGGCCACCACCCCGTGGCACCACACCTGGGCACCATTGGTGTTAGCCACTGAATGCCAGAAACCCACACTGTGCCCTAAACCCTTACCCCACAACAGATTCTCTGCAGCCCCAGCTTCCTCATGTTCTCTCCTAGAGGCCAAGTCTGTCATGGGTGTCTAATTGGCTAAGCCTAGAGTATAAGCATTGTTGCAAGGGGGTTGGGAAAGCCAGGATAAGCCTTTAACCCTGGGTGTGTGTATGGGCGGGCGGGGAGGCGGGAGGGGGGCGGGGACAGAACCCATGGTGTTGGAAATTTCCCAGTTGCAGAATGGGATTCAAAAGGACAGCTATGAAGTGTGTCTACACCCTCCAGCAGCATTTCTATATTGCGTGTATGCGAACGAAGTAGGCATATGATCCATGTCTCAAGGTCTCATTTCCAGAGTGCTTTCATCCTTAAAAATCCAAAGAACCATCATGCAAGCCCCCACCAGTGGCAGCCACCCAATCTCCTCATTTGGGTGTCATTCAGCCTCTCTGAGTTCAGACCACAGCTCCAAGTACCTTCTGGTCATAACATTGTCCCCCAGACGTGGACCCAGGTCTCTTTCTCCCCTTTCCTCCAAAATGAAAAGCTAACACACTTCCCAGAGACAGACCAGGCCCGTGGGGAAAACACTGTTTCCTAATGCAACAGAGAAGTTGGCTCTGATTTGTCACATCCTCTACCTTTAGGATTCAGCTCTGGTTTTCCCTTTTCAGAAACAAAGGCCTATTACATGGCCCCGAAGCTGAATTCAGCTACCAAACTTAGGATGCAAGGACAGAAGTAACTTTTTTTTAAAGCATTAGGTTTTAGTAATGTCCCAGATGAAACTCCATTTTGCAGGAGAGAGTTGAGAAACTGCTCTGATGAGTTTTTCCTTTAGAAAAGGATAGAAAGCAGATTAAGGGCGATGCTCCAGAGCAGTCCCGGCCCCACACTTCCAGGTGACAGTGTTTTACAGGGTCCCCACAGGCCTAGACAAGGGGAAGTGAACCTTTGAATAAAGAATGATTATATTCTTCCTCAACTTTTCCACTTCTACTCTTCCTTTTCTAGTGATTTCCATGCACTGTCTGTGTTTGCATTTGCCCCCACTCCCACCCCAGCTCATTTCCGTATGTCACTCAGTGCTTGTCTGTTGAATGACCAACCAGCTCCTCTGTGCATTCTGCTTGGGTCTCTCAGGAAAGGCAGCTACTATCCTCACCTATCTCCATGACCCCTTTGGAATATTTACTTGATGGTCCCATATTTATCTGTTCTGTGAGTTTCCCTTTAGGACAGAGGCAATATGTCATTTGCTATGGAGTCCTAAAGAACTGTCTGTGTTTATCATTGTTTTGGAATGGAAAGGATGGTCACTGTAGCCAAATGCCACAAGGGGGCAGTGTGGAGCACATTTTCAAGGACAAACTCCCTCCACCCCTACCTCAACCCCCACCCCACCCCACCCCAGACTCTTCTCCTAGACCCTGCCTAGAAGGTTTTCTAGACCTTATTTTGTTCAACGTTTTCATTTGTGAGAGAAGGAGTTGAGGCCCAAGAAGTCAAGGGCTGTGACCAGAGGCACATAGCTCCTGAGCCCAGCTCTTGATCGGGTCCAGCACCCTTTCATTACAATATGCTCATACACCCAGCTCCCTAGGCTCTGAGGGCCCTGGTGGTGCTTTCATCATCCCTGGAGCACATCCTAGGAGGCTGCTCATTGGCTGCTGGCTGGTGAACACGTGCAGCACAGAGGAAACAGACCTCTGAGTGCACCATTCAGGGCCCCGTCTCTCTTCCCAGGCCTCAGCAGGGTCCAGGCTTTGGTGACTTGGGCCCTCACAAGACTCTCCTTTCCTCTGACACGTCTTTCTTCCCCTTTTGAGACCTACATCACCTGGGCTCCTATTTCCCAAGAAAGGAAGAACTCCATGCTCAGATCATGTCTTACACCAATTATCCTCTCAAAATTCACTTCTTTTGTGTGCTATTTCCTCTAGCCTTGCTTTTTAATTTTCTCTATCTGTGTGTGTATGTTTGGGGGTGTAGGTGTTGGGGAGAATACTAGTATGCTGATGGTTCACTCCTCCCCTCTTGGCTGTCCGTACATTTTCACGGCGGGTTCCCAAAGGACCACGCCTTAGATAGTAGAGAGAGATATCTGGAAGACACATGAAACCTCAACAAATTTTTTTCACTCATTCATCTCTATAATTACTCAATTATTA